AAAACTGCTTGAATTTGCATTCAAGGAAAAATCTCCTTGAAAACTGCTTGAATTTGCATTCAAGGAAAAATCTCCTTGAAAACTCCTTGAATTTTGCCAGATCGGACAGGAACACGTTTACAGGGTGACTGCCAGGCCCCGGGAATCCCGGGGGCCCCTGGAATTACCCAGTCATTTGAAAAAAATCGCCGAGACCCGGAATGCAACGGGAATTTGAAGAAATATGTAAATTGCCCCGTGAAAGACCCGGGAAAATACATAAACGTTCTCGAATATTTGAAAACCAAATCCGATAACGTCCTTGAGTTCATTTTTGCCGGTCGCGGTTGTGATATAAAATTCATTCGGCCTTTCCCGGCCTGAGAGTACGTTACCAGCGCACAGGCGGTTATGGCGACAACAAGTGGAAGTGTATGTGCGATACCGAAGTTCGATCGGGAAAAATCAAGATCTACTTTCGCTTTCGTTACCACCTAGAAATTTGCCGGTAGGACCTATCGTAGTCTGATAGCGCCACATTTCTAACATGCAGGTTCTGCATTACAAGCGCTGTGTCGCCATGAAAATAAATAGTTTGTCCTGTGCTGTCACTTGTGGAAAAAAAAGAAAGAAAAAGAAAGTTATACAAGCTTCTTGTCGGGCTCGCCATCGTGACCGGTCATTGAACCTGTGCATTTTCGTCACATCGTGAGTATCTGCGATGGTTGAGGTCACCAAAGTTCATGCAAAGTCTGAGCGCTGCGAAGTATAGGACTCGGGAATGGGGGGGTTATTAATTTTTTTTTTAAAGACGCACGCGGGGGAAAGGGGGGGGGGGGGGGGGGGGGGGGGTATTTATTGAGATTTATGATCTTCAGATCAGGGGTGTGTGTGGTGTATTTGGTTGTTTTTGGTTGTGGCAGGGGGTTAGGCCTAGCCTATTGTATTGTTTGGCTGAAAGTATGAGAGTGAGTAAAGTGTGAGTCTGTGTTCAGTTGTATTGTTTGCAAGTTGATAAAAGTCTTGAGTTACTACTGGTGGGACTTGGAGAGGAGAGAGTTGTATCAAGGTAGAGGAGACCTGCTGACAGTATAGGTTGTGAAGAAGGCTAGTTAGAGCCTCAGTTCAGTTGTGCGTGAAGTGTGAGATTCCAATCCAACGCATCGGGGCCCCAAAGCTGCGGAAGGAATCACAACACAGAGCAGAGGAACAGGTTTGGCTAATTCCTGTTATAGTAGTGGCATGTGACAGAAGGTTAGTAGTGTAAAATCTTTGTTTTATGTTCCAAGTAACAACATATGATATTGTAGACATTTTATTAATTATTGTTGCAACATGGCCCTACTTCACCAAAGGTTGAAAATGCCAGAAATTGGGTTCACATACTCGGGTAGAAGTCATTTTTCTCGAAGTGATTGTTTTTACTACGTGTTACAAAGTGTTTTAAAAACTACTCCAGATATTTTTTTCAAATAAAAAAATCAGCGTGATCGGCCTTGAATTTTGCTATATATATATATATATATATATATATATATATATATATATATATATATATATATATATATATATATATATATATATATATATATCTATATATATATATATATATATATATATATATATACATATATATATATATATATATCCGACAACATATATATATATAGACACACACAGATATATATATATATAGACACAGCCATATATATATATTTTTAAAGAATATATGTGTGTGTCGTATATAGCTCAGAGAACACAGACTCTCTCTTTCTCTCTCTTTATATATATATATAGAG